TAAGGTAACCATTCTACAGCAAAAACAGAAGCCGTCTCTTTTTATTAAAACAAAAACACAAAACACAAACCAAAAGGCAAATGCTGCTGTTCAATCATCAGATGAACTCATAGAGGCAAAAAATGTGACAATAGTAATAGTTCAGGTAAAGTATGTGTGAAAATTTAAACACACCACTTTCAAGTTAAGACAAAACTAAAGGGGGAGTGATGATCTTTATATTAAGTCAAAAAGCTTAGGTATTATCAACAAAGGTTAATTCACTTTACAGTCATCAGAGACTATTGTACATATATTTTTTGCACCTTGCGCTTGTAAAAGCAGATAGAATATTTAATATGTTATTTACAATGTGTTTTGCCAGCTCAGCATACAGGATGTATATAGATTATATCAAAGTAGTAGACAGTTCGGGGCCTGTGCAAACCCTGCAAAAACAGTACTTCGGGTATCTGCTAACTCAAACTAGGTATTGTATACCTAGATTGTACCAATAAACTCAATAAAAAGAAAAAAAATACCCAGATTATACTTTAGACCAATTAAACTAGAATCTCAGGACACGAGATTCAGGTATCAGCATTTTCTAAAGCTGCCCAGCTCTATTCATATAAAACTATTATTGATTATATAAATATTAATATACAAACTATTATCATAAAACATATTGACAATATTCTGTTGAATAGAATTTTGTACAGGTAAATAGGGTTCATCTGAGTAGTTTTAATTATGTAAAAAAGATTGCATTTCTAAATTAAATCCATTTTTATATATCTTAATATACCACAGATGCAAATTTCTGATTTTACTCTATGCAACTTCACAATTTCAACTGGTATGGAAATAAATTGAAGATAATATTTATAATTTATAAATTCACCTTCAAAGTTATATTGAAAAGATTAAATTTTAGGTTCAACCTGTAGGAGAGACCTCAGTTCTTACAAAGGGACAAAAAACAAAAGGGTCAGATCAGCATGAGAATTTCAACATCAAGTGCTCCAAAGGTTAAACATATGGGTGAGGGTGTAGCTCAGTGGTAGAGCATTTGCCCAGCACAGGGGAGGCCTAAAGTTTGATTCCTGGTACCACAAAAAAAAGATGAAAAGAAAAATATAAGTCTAATTTTTCTAAAAACTTCCTAATTTCTTGTTGAGTGTTTTGCCTTTCTAAAGAGTGAAGAATCTCTTAGACTGAGTGTTAAAAACATCAACAAAACAAAATCAAGAGTAAGATTACTTTAGGTTAGGTGAGCCGAAAGTGAAGATAAATATGACTATGGTTTGAAGAGAAGGAATATGCCATTAAGATTACATAAATCCTAAGATTACCCTGGGCAGATACGGATGATTCCTTCAAATACTCATATTTAACCAATAACTCTAAGTTATCTACAAAATTTTTTATATGCAATATGGAAAGTCTAGATAGGGCTGAAAATAAAGAACAAATCTCAAGGAAGCAGTTAAAAATCTACATTATGATAATTGTTATTTAGCTAAAGCCCATGTAATTTTCTTTCCAAGGTGTCATTTAGTTTTTAAAAGCACTGTGTCTAACCATGAAAACCCAGTAGCTCACTAGATGAATTTTTAATTGACAGATCATTTTCTATAAAGCATCGAGTTATAAAAATAAAGCATCCAGTCATGCTACAGTCCCAGTCACCACGACATTGTGCCATGTTATATATACTATACCTTTCATTGATTTCCTCAAATGACTTGGGGGGGGATGAAAAGAGGCAGGTTGGAGAGAGAGAGAGAGAGAGAGGTTAACAACAAAAAGAAAAACCAACCAAGAGCTTTAAGACCACACAGTTGGGAGACAGTTTCCCTCCACCTCCCTGGAGCCCCTGGAATGCTGCGGGACAGAGCTGCAGGGGATTCAGTTCAGTTGCCTGATCAGTTCAGCTCTCTCTGATCTGCATGGTTGACAGTGAGTTGTTTGTACCTTGCTTCTCTCTATTTATTAGGCTCAGCCTCCAAAATAAATTTCTCTGAAGCAAGAAAAATGACTTAAAATTGTTTAAATATACATCAAAAATGTGAATCAGTGTTTATCTCTGAGTAGTTAGTTACACCTTCTCAGTGCTTTCTTGTATTTTCCAATGTTTCTAGCATGACGATATATCTATCACTCATATAAGTAGGGAAAATGTTTTCTTTTTCAATTTGTTACTTCTAGATAAAAGGAAACAATTTTCTTATCAAAGATGACATTTTTGCAGAACATAAGCATTTCATTAATGCTCCACTTCACAAGAGGTCCCTGATTTAAAAACACTGAAGCTCTGCCTTAATGAAACATGAAGCAACCTAATGATTTAGTTCTCCTTCAGATCAGCCATGTCTACTTGATTCAGAGAAATTTCCCCACTGGAAGAGCCTGAAGCAAATGAAAAGCCCAACATTGTCTTGTTTGTCCTTGATCTATTTCCCAGCCTCACTAGAGGGCTAAGAGGATCAGGATCTTTTATTAGGAGGTCCCTACCCATCAAAAGGTGGTGCTTTCCCCAGTCTGACCACAAGGCCTGGGGCCACCTTCTGGGAAACATCTCCTTGGTCCTGGTTAATCCTATCTGGTTACTGTTCTAAAGAATATGCATGAGGCTTAGAGATCTGACTCTGGAACAACTAAGGAGCACCCAAGGAACCTTCTGTCCACAATTGCTTGCTGGAATTAGGGGACCTTGGTTTCAGGTAGCCACTTAGAGAAATGCCACCATACTACCTGAGAGGGGTGCCACAATTTACGGCATCCTTTTGCATCAAAAAGTGTGCCAAAATGATCCTCTCAGCTTTGGCCAGTCTCCAAGAGAATGGCTCATGTGAGAGGCCACCTCAGATTTCAAAGTAGAGAGAAAAGGCCCTGCAGCAAGTGAGAGGATGCCAGGAATCAGGAGGAAGGAATAAGGTTGTAAGGCTGTTTCCATTCTCTCTTAGAAAATCCCAATCCCATGTGACAGGATGTCCTGACTCCATGAATCTTTCAGCTGGATATGGGCATTGGAACTTTCAGGATTTGTGGGGAATTTTCTATAGGTATCTTGAATGCCCAAATAATTCTAAAATTCCAGAATTATATAAACCCAAACTGAAATATAAATAACTTTAAGGAACATTGAAAGATGAAGTTTGAGTGTAGACTTGTAGCAGAGCAGGTGCCTGTCACACCTGGCGCTTACCATCAGGAACACAGTCTCGTCAAGCTCCTCGGCCTCCCTCACGATGGCCTCCAGGGTGTCCTTGGCAGTGTCCATACTCTGCAGAAAGCGAACCATCTGGTCATGCAGAAACTCCATCTTCTTCTTCTTCACTTCATCAAAACTCTGGGCTTTCTCATCGTATTGCGCCAAAACTTTCTTCATCATTTCCTCATTCTGTGCTTCCAGCCTCTTCTCATTTTTGGTACAGTTTTCCTAGGGGAAGAAACAAAAACACTCCTGAGTGAAACAAGAAGTACACCCTTTTTCTCCTCCTCCTCCCCCTCTTCTTTTCTTTTAAAGAACTGACATCTGGCATCTCAGTAAGAAAATCAGAATTTTAGATTTTAGACTGTGTACTTCATATTTAATTAACATTAAATTTCGAATCTTCCAACCACATTTACCATAATTAGTTTTGCAATAGAACTAGCTGTAAGAGTATCATCCAGATGGTTTTAGATACTGAAAAACCAAAGCAGGGTGCATTTGTATGGAAGTCTTACCCAGATGCATTCCTGTGTGATAAAACTTAAAAGTAGGAATTGTAGCAAGCAAAGATTCCAGGCCACCACGTGGTGATGAGTGAGGTCTAGTGCTATTTCCTGCATTCCACTAAAATCATGGTGTGAGGGAGTGAGGTGCCAGGAAATTGAGCAAGGTCCTAAATTCCCAGATGCTATCCAGGGAGAGGCAACTTCTCCTTTATTGCTCATCTGGACACACCCAGGCACATAGCTATCTTCATCAGCAAGTTAGTGATGAGGTAATCAGATAATTTACCCAAAGGTAATCCTTTGGCCCTGGCCCTCTGCCATCCTTGATTGACAGGTGAGGGTGCTGGGCCCTCTCTGCACAGGCATGGAACATCATTACCTGCTCACTTCGCTATGCAGGGTGCACAGCAGCAGCCAGCAGTGAACTCATGGAGGACAACTATACCATGAGCGCTGCTTGCTGGCCCTGTGCATAGGCCCTGGGCAGTGCCTTCAAGCATTTCTGCAGGGCTGACCCAATGAGACAATGAAGAGAAGAATAATGTAAATCTTAGTTTCTTAGCTACTAAATGAAAGCAATAACGCCTCTCATATGACTGTTTGGAGGATAAATTAAGTAAAGCATATAAAATATAGTAAATGCCTGATGAGTGCATGTCTGTTGTTATGGGAAAACCCTTTGTGCTTAGCAGAAAGTAGCACCCAGGCAAGACACCAACAACCCTCACTATGAGGGAACAAAACTACCAATGGCAAGCAGCACACACACACACACACACACACACACACACACACACACTGATTCAGATTGTTTTAGCTCAGAATCATTTACTTATGATAAGGTAAAAGGGATTGTTAACTTACCTCAATGGTATTAAAGAAAGATTCAATCTCACTAACAAAGGCCTCAATCTTCAAGGACTTTTCTTGTAAATTTTCAAGAAATTCTGCTAATTGAACCTGAAGAAAAGAATTATAGTATCCTTAATACATAACACTTAGGAAAAGAACTTCAAGCAGTGGGCTCCAATTTTCTTACAAGTTTGATATATCTGGTAGAGATTTTTTTTTCTTAGACATAACATTTACTAGTTTTCCAAGCATGAAAGAAATGAAAAAATATATATATTAGAACAAGAACAATTTGATAATTTCCACAATCTGTGTTCCTTTTGTGAGCAGTGCCTGATTATATCAAATTAACAAATTTAAGTTTAGTTCTTGCTAAAGAAAAAAAATCTAATGAAGAACTAATTTACAAAATATACGAGTATAATTTTACAATAAATCTTTCCAGTGTTTGCTATAACTATATTATATGAAATGCTTCCCTCCACTGAAACTTAGAAGGACAGCTCTTAAAATGAACAAAACTTTGTGTGCTCATCTCTGACAAGCAATGAACAAATAGAACTTGCTCACAGGGATGTAAAAGTGCTACTTCAGGAGCATAAATTACCACTAACATGTTACAGAAATGAGCCTTACAATGATATAAAAAAATATGAGAAAGAAAAAATGGATACATATTGAGGATATACTCTTAAGTGAAATAAATAAGTCACACATGTGTAAATACCAAATAGTCTCTCTGGTGTGAAAAACTATAATAGTACACAAGATCCTAATGGGATAATTAATAATGTAAAATAGGAAGAAAAGGGCTAAAGGTGTAGGGAAAGTGGGAAGAGTAGGGGAAAAGTAATAAGGGAAAATAAAAAAATATGAGAAAATGAAAAAATGGAAATAAAGTTTTAGCAAATGGGGAGAGGAGGAGGGGGTGAAGGGAGGGCACGGACAAGGGGAAAAAAATGAGAATCAAGACCTGTCATGTAAAGGTACAAGATCCAAATGATGAATGTAACTGTAGTGTATACCTAAAAACTCCATGAGAAAAAAAAAAAAAAAAAGAAATGAGCCTTGTTCAGTGGCTGTTCTCCAGAACCTTGTCCTCTCTTCTTATGCCAGGGAACCCATTACATATAAACCTAAGAAAAAACCAAAGCTGTTGCAGAAGTGAAACTTAGCATGCTCCACTCAAATTTTTGTAAGGTAACCATTCTACAGCAAAAACAGAAGCCGTCTAAAAGAAATGAGCCTTGTTCAGTGGCTGTTCTCCAGAACCTTGTCCTCTCTTCTTATGCCAGGGAACCCATTACATATAAAGCCTAAGAGAAAACCAAAGCTGTTGCAGAAGTGAAACTTAGCATGCTCCACTCAAATTTCTCTAAGGTAACCATTCTACAGCAAAAACAGAAGCCATCTCTTTTTATTAAAACAAAAACACAAAACACAAACCAAAAGGCAAATGCTGCTGTTCAATCATCAGATGAACTCATAGAGGCAAAAAATGTGACAATAGTAATAGTTCAGGTAAAGTATGTGTGAAAATTTAAACACACCACTTTCAAGTTAAGACAAAACTAAAGGGGGAGTGATGATCTTTATATTAAGTCAAAAAGCTTAGGTATTATCAACAAAGGTTAATTCACTTTACAGTCATCAGAGACTATTGTACATATATTTTTTGCACCTTGCTAAAAATGTGACAATAGTAATAGTTCAGGTAAAGTATGTGTGAAAATTTAAACACACCACTTTCAAGTTAAGACAAAAGTAAAGGGGGAGTGATGATCTTTATATTAGAGTCAAAAAGCTTATGTATTATCAACAAAGGTTAATTCACTTTACAGTCATCAGAGACTATTGTACATATATTTCTGCACCTTGTGCTTGTAAAAGCAGATAGAATATTTAATATGTTATTTACAATGTGTTTTGCCAGCTCAGCATACAGGATGTATATAGATTATATCAAAGTAGTAGACAGTTCGGGGCCTGTGCAAGCCCTGCAAAAACAGTACTTCGGGTATCTGCTAACTAAAAACAAAAACAAAATCAGTTTGCTGTTTAGGAGAGGTAGAATTCAAACTACCACAAAATACAAAGGACTGCAAAAATGCATACCATCCTAACAACATATATAAGTTACTAAATAAAGATCTGATTTAAAAAAATGTAAATGAAGCCTTTAAGTAGGTCTTTTCTACATGCATATTATTTCTCATTAAAGAAAAAAATATGAAAAAAGACCATTGGTAATTGCTTTTTAACATTTGTAGAAAATGTCAATTCTCTGGTCACAAACTCCATTAAGTTTAGCACTTAAGGTCTCTGCGGTGTTATAAATGTAATTTAAAATACTGTTAGGCCAGGTGTGATGGTGTAGGCCTGTAATCCCAGTACTCAGGAGGCTGAGGCAGGAGGATCCCTGTGAGTTCAAGACCATCCTGGGCTACATAGTGAGTTTCAGGTCAGTCTCAACTACAAAGTGAGACTCTGTCACACACACACAAAAAAAGAAAAAACAATACACACACACACACACACACACACACACTGTTAATTCTTTAGCTCCGTTGATAAAATAATGTGACTTGAAACATGGCACATATTTCATGTTGAGGGCAGTGAGCCACAGTTTCATTTCTTCGCTTCTTAGGTGTGAATAGTTATGCAGAACAACGCCCTCCACCACCACTCTGAGTTTGAGGTTTATCATGGACAATCTGTACTCCTTGTCTTGCAGCTCCTGGTTGATTAGAGCGATTGCCATTTGTCCTCATCCACTCGTGCTATTTCTATCACCCTTTTACAAAGGTTAAGAAAAAGTTCCTCACTTCCTTTGTTCTGTTTGGCTGAGGTATGATAGATAATACTCTGCTCCCACAGATTCTCCATGGGATTCCGTTTCTTGAATGGAAACACGTCTGTCTCTCCTTTTCCAAATCAGTTCTATTACCAACTATACATAAACAGATTTCATTTCCCAACATTTTCCATAATTCTTTCACCCAGTTTTTTTTGTTTTTTGTTTTTTTACTCTCTGAAAAGAATCACCTACTATATTATAAACTAAAATGGCTCCATTTGAATCTCTGTAGTAAACTGGCCCCAATGCATCTCTTGACCTGCTGTATATGGCAAGGTTTACTCTTTTCCCACCAATATTGAACTTCTTTGTTAAGAAAGATGCCTGCAGAGTGGTGACGTGCTTGTCGTGGAACTTGCTCTCACAGTAGCACAGTACCAGAAACGTCTTCCCCACGCAGCCTTCCCTGAGCAGCACCACCTTGAACGCGCACGCTCGCCCGGACGCCGCAGGCCACAGCCATCCCGCCGCTTCCCGGTCACCCAAGCCCCAGAACCGCAGCGGGCGCACCACTCAGCAGCAGCCCGCCGACACCCCTCCTCGGCGAGGTCTGAAAGGGCCCAGAGAAAGTCGAGAATTGAAGGGCCTGGTAAAGATTTTTTAATACCATAGTCAGCTAATAAATCTTTGAATTATTTCTGCCGCTACAGCTAAATTGATTATAGATAATTATGTATGACAAAGAAGAGGTTTGTGAGTGACAGCCCCAAAGCAACTGCAGAAAGACAGTTATATAGGAGAAACCTGAAATACAAATAAGGAGCAAAATAAATAACAGGAAACAGAAAGACAGATCTTTAGAGCAAGCAGGAAGGGAGCCTAGAAATGGGGTGGGTGAAGGAGGGGAGGAGAAGAGAATTTAAAAAGAATTAAGATATGTTATGTACATGTACCAGCTCCCCATGAGGAATATAATCATTACGTGCTGCAAACGTACTAATAAAAAAGTTAAAATGGTGGGGAGGAGACAGTTTATTTCTCATGCAAAAAAAAAATAATTTGACTTCTTGATAGACTGGTGAGGTTATTTAAATGAGCCACAGATTTGAATGTCTTCTCCTTAGTAATGCCTCATTCTAAGCAGCCTTTCTACTATACCAGCCCAATATATCTAAGCAGTCTGTGCACATTTGCACCTGTGGCCTCAGGTGCACAGGAAGGCCTGCCCATCCAAAGGTGATAGGCCCCAGCATACCAAATAATAGAAACTACCTGCTAAATGGACACAAACATCCTAAAGACATTCAACAAATTAAAATACTCAACTAGAAAACAAAAGGGGAAAGTGAAGGAGGGTGTTACCTACTTTAATCAGTTATGAACCCAGCAATGTGTCCTGGTAGACAAACTTAAATTCACTATCTGATTTGCTCCCCATCAAATGAAGATGTTACACTGAGCAAGCACTTTCAGGATCTGGCCCCTCTGTCCCTCAAGGTCCCTACTTCCAGAATCTCCCAGCCCTTCACTCCTGTCACACACCCATCCTTTCCTCAGACTCTTCGTATGTGTGCCTTTTCCTGTGTATTCTCCAATTCTGGAATGTTCTCCAGGTCCTTGACTGATAGAAAAACTCTCGCATGTAAGGCTCAACCAAGCTTTGGGCTTTAGAAATACCTTCCACAGCCCTCCCCATAAACCCACATATACAGAGTGCTCACGCTCTGTACTAATCTGGGGAATTTTACAAATCCATCTACCTATTTTCTCTATTTTAGCTCCATCCCTGATACATAACAGGCAGTCAATAAACACTGAACAGGAAGCAAAGGAGTGAATGAAGGAAGAGAAGACAAGCTATCACGGTGGCAGTGGGCCTGGAGAAGTGAGGACTTGGGTTATCTGTAAATGCAGCCATCAGTCCCTGAAGAGGAGCAGGACACCACCCGTAAGATGCTAGAGAACTCTCAAGTCACAGCTTTTTTCACTTGATTTTATTTTTTAAAAGTTGCCAATCAACTTTTACTCTTCATGCTTATCTCAGTGAAATGAAGCAAGACCTCAGCTTTAGTCAACTAGTTTCAACCTTCTGCTCATACTGTTTAGAAAAAATTTAAAAAACAAAACAATTTTAAGGCAAGAGATATCATAGCTCCCTACTTCTCAAAAGTGTTAATTGATAGTTTTAGACAGTTATTTTTTAATTTCTAAAATATAGAGATAAATAAAACACAAAGAATGTTGGAAAATCCAGTTTTCTTTCAGCTAGTAATGTCCAGCAACTGTCAGTATCCCCACAGAATGGGTTCCTCCCACTGGAACTCATGAATCTCATGTCTGAGCTTTCACTAAAGTTTGCCTATGCTCTGCTCCTAAACGTTTGTTGTTGTTGTTTGAAATAGGGCCTCACTATGCTGCTCAGGCTAACCTTGAGCTCATTAAGTAGTCCAGGCTGTCCTCAAACTTGGACATCCCTCCTGCCTCAGCCTACCAAGTGCTAGGACTACAGGAGTGCACCACCACTCCCAGACCCACCAAATGTTAACAGGTAAAATTTCAACAAAACTTCACCCAGGAAAAATGAAACCAATATCAGACAAATTGAGAAGGATTAATTTAGTAGGAAAAAATGCCAAGACTCCAATATGTTATGTTATTTAATCAAAACAGTCTGACAATTACTTAATAGTGACTGAAATGAATGATCACTTTGGGAATACTACCATTGGCAAGGCACTGAGCCATGCAATATGAATGTATAGTCAAGAACACAAGCTCCAGCATCAACAGTCCTGAGTAACAATCTCAGTCTGGCCTTCCACAAGCTCATTTCATTGGCTGCAAATTGATGACACTGACTTGTTGTGAGAATTAAAAGGCATCCTTTATATAAAGAACTCAGTGCAGTTCCTGGCATCGAGAAAATGCTTCATTCTTCTTGTTGTTTGCTAATTTTTAAGGTCATCCTGGCTGCCAGTGGGGAACAGATTACAGAGGCAGGACCAGGGAGACCAGTTAGAAAGTGACTGAAAGGTAAATGGGAAGCTTAGAAACTAAATATTGATTTCCAATAGCATCCTTATGTGGGTAGAGAATTTATAACCACACACATAAGGATATGCTCAGTGACTAACTTTGTATCTAGATTAGGGTCTTATATGTATTGCCAGAGACAATGCAAAGAGTTTCCATATATAACATAAATTTTATAAGCAAAAAAGGAAATACAAACAAAATCAGAATTAAAAATCTTGAGTATTTTGTCTTATAATAAAATTGCCCTATGTAATATATGTAATTATTTTAAAGAACACTATAGATGGCATAAAATAAGTTGTATTTTATGTTCAAAGGTGTATTATTAAGTCTAAAGTTATTTGTTATTTTTATAATATTAAGAGTCACTACTATAAGATGACAAGGCCTCCCAAAGTCAGTAACCACATGTTATTTCTTGATGGTCCCCAGGACCTAGAAAAATGTCCAGCACATAGTATATACTCAATAAATATTTGTCAAGCCAACCTCAACTAAATTCTTGGGGAAATATTCTCAATTTGCTTTCAGTCTATTCTGCATAAAGATAAGTGTATCAAATATTGGTCCTTTTTAACTGAGAGAATGTGAAGGTAAATATGTCGTTTTCTTTAAAAATATATTTTTTGATTTAAAGTTAACTTGCCTGGGGTGGGGGATTTAGCTCAGTGGTTCTGCCACCTGCCTTGCAAACACAAGGACCTGAGTTTGATTCCCCAGTACAAAAAAAAAAAGTCATAAAGTTAACTTGCCTTAACAGCACTTATAGCTGTGTCAAGCGTTGAAACCTCGTGGTCTCTGTGGGTGCCAAGCACTTTGTCCATTGTGGAAATTGGGCTTTTGCAGGTACAGCAATACGTGTCAATTTGGGACTTCTTCAGTTCATTTTGTGCCCTCTCAGCCACTAACTCTGATGACAGCCGGTCTTGTTCTGTCTTCCCTCTGCCCAACTCATTCTGGTCAGCAGTTGCATTCTGTTCTGCCTCAGTAAGAAATTCATATTTCCTGATGTATTCAACAGATTCCTTTCCTTGAGGCAATACATCTTCACATGCAGATTCTGAATATAGCTCATCTGATAAAGTGTCCTGACTAACCACTTCGTAATGCAGGGATTCAGCAAATTCATACTCATCCTGCACAGGGCTGTTTCGGAGCCTCTCTGCGCTTGGCTCAGGATGGACCAGTACTTTAGGTTCTTCTTGTGGGGCTTCTGGAATATTAGTTGCACCTGACGCAAACCCTTCCTCTGGGAAGGACACTTGTGTTGGGACATTCTGACTGACTTCTTGGCTTGTGTTTCCTGCCTCATTATCCTGACTGCTCACTTCCGCTGCATTCTCTAGGACATGGTGGCTATCTTGAAATGGAACTGCATAGCTTATCTTCTGGGTAACCACCCTGACCTCCTCAGTGATAGGAGCTTTCCTCTGCACTACTGTGTCATCAGAGGTCTCCACATGGCCTACAGCTTCTCCTTCTCTGTAAACAGCATTCTGTTCTTCCAAACTCTTTTCCCAAAGAACAGTTCCAGACTTCTTCCAAATTTCCTCTCCTGTAGCTATCAATTGGTATGAATCACTCTTACCAACTGGTTTTTCTTCTAGACCTTGGCCTTGGTCCTTCTGCGTTACAGATGTGTCATGGAGAATATCATCTCTGAGTGTGTACTTCTCAAAATACATTCCTGTTCCTTCATCAGTGTCAGAATTTCTGCTTGGAAATGATGTCTCAGAATTCACACTGTCACCTTCAGAAGCTGTTTCCCCTTCCTTTTTTTTCTCCCCAACTGCCTCTTCATATAGATCCTTATATAAAAATGAAAGTGCAGCTGGCTCCTCCAGTTCAGGATTAACAGCTTTGACAGTGGTCAGAAATATCTGGGTCCTGGATAAAACCCCTTCCTCCAAATCAAATAAAGGCATCCCAGGTGACCTGGAGTCCAAATCTCTATTAATGCTCTTTGAAGAATTTCTATCAGCTGATTTTTGGGTAACCAAAGACTTTTGCATCTCTGGCTGAGATAATTTGCTGTGGTCCTTTCCCAGTCCATAAAAACTTTCATCCAGTTTTACCAGGTCATATTCATGTTCTAGGGCACTTTCCTGTGAACTTTCTGGGAAAGGGAGAGTTTCTTCTGTAGCTCCCTTTGAGATCTCCTCTTTTGTAGTTAAATTCCATGGAGCTTTCTGTTTTTCTGGGTCTGGGGAGATGTTATAATCAATCAAAGTATATTTTTCAAAGTAATCCTCTTCACTGGGAATTGTGGACTGAATGAAAGCTAAATCATCAGAGTCTGAGTCCATGGATATCTTCTCTTTTGTAACATGAGCTTCCTTTCCTTCATTCTTCAGTGATGTAACCTTTCCTTCAGAATCTTCTAACTTGCTCTGTAACATTTTATGGCAAACAACTGCCTCACTATCATCATGAAGGGATAACGTTTTAAATGAGGGTTTATCTTCTAAATACTCTAACTTATCTTGCATTTGTTCACTTTCTTCCTGATCCACTGAAGGAATAAAGGCAGGTGTGTAAATATTCAATATCTCACAGCCTTCAGAAATGATACTGAAGGCACTCTTCTGATCTTGTGAAAGGTCAGCTGGTTTGCTGGTCACTGTGGATTCTACATCTTTTACACATGTGTCTTCAGGCTCCTTGAACATTTCTTTAGCAGATGTCATCTCATCAGCTTTACTTTTTGATTCACTGGTTATAAATTGAGTATAGTTGCTTCCCGCTGAAGAGGACAGTTCATTTATGTGAGCATCTTCCACAGTCTCCAAAGGATGCTTTGAAATAAGAACAGATTGCTTAAGCATCTCAGATGAGTGATCTTCAGATGCCTGAATAGTGTGGCCTGTAGGGTGACCCAGAGTCATTTTTGACCATGGAATTTCTTGTTTCTTGGCTGTGCTAACTTCTGGACAAACCTCTGGAATAAGAGTTTGTGGTTTGTCAGATGACAGCAAATATGGCAGCGTTTCTAAGCTCTTTGTATCATTTGAAGGCTGATCTACAGTGCTTCCAGGGATTTCAGATGGAGATCTTTGCCTGGTGCTTTCTTCTGTGGTGGCTACTGAACCACTCGTGAACAGCTGTGACAGTGTGAGCTGTCCTTTTTCTTCTCTGTGACCCACCAAATCTCTGCTTGGCTTTTCTAATACCAAATCTTCTTCCTGAGGGAAAGGGTGCTTATCTATTTCATCACGATAAGGAAGATCCACTGGGCACAAAGTATTGGTTTTATTCACCAAGTTTTTACCTTCCTCTAATGGATGTGGTTGGCTTTCTACCAGCTTTCTTTCCTTGATTTCTAGGTGAGCCTCTGAAAGCACACTTTCTGGTTTTTCAGTAATCAATGGTGTTTTAGTTGACGAAAATGGTTGTATTTCACCCGAAGAATGAAGAGAAGAGATAAAGGGTTTTTCAGACACAGACCTTGCCACATTCAGAGAATAAGGCTGATTTTCTTGCTGCTTCTTTTCTTCCAAAAATACCTGTGACTCCTTTTCTTTTTCTTCTCTTTTCTCTTCCTCAGAACAAACAGCAATTTTGGCTCTTTCCTCATGTTCTTTATCTGAATAGATATGCTCCAGCCTAGCAGCAACTTTTGATTTTTCTAATTCAACAGGTCTATATTCAGTTGTCATTTGCGATTTCACTATTTCTTTATTTTTTCTAAGCTCTAAGGGAGACACTACTTCTTGTTTGTCTGCCAGGTTATTTTCTGCCAAGGTACATGATCGAGTTTCCAAGTTCTCTTTGTCCTCAGTTAGGCTGACAGGCCTGGGTTTTACCTCCTCTTCAGAATGTTTCAAGGAAGTAGGTTTGGGCAATTCTTTCTTTAATTTTTCCTCACCAAGATCAATTAAACTGCCTTTTGATTCTTCTACTGGCAAAATTATTGGCTCTGGGTTCACTGATTCTTTCATGATATTTTTACTTGTGAAGCTGAATGAATCTGATTTTAGCTGTTGTGGCATCTTATCTACTACATCAAATGGAAATGATGTTTCTTTTTGATCGCCACTTAGATCTTCCTTAAGAATAGAAATATTCCAATTAGATGGAGGAGCTACTGCTGGCTTCTGGTATCTTTTACTCTCAGTAACATGAGAAGGAACATTTTTGGTTTCTCCCGAAGCCAATTTCTTATCAGGTTGAACTCCAAGATGTTCTTCACTATCAGCAGAAGTAATTAAGCTTCTGCTCATTTTATCTGATGAATCTGGGATTTCATTCCTTCTATCATCTTCACTAGACACCTCTGGCAATGAATGATCAGCTGGTTTCTTGGTTGCATTAAAATCAGCAGGACTCTTATCTTTCGGCTCTGTCACAGTCACTGCTTTTTCCACAGAGGGACTTGGCTGTGTATCTAAATCTTCTTTTTCAGCAACTTTGTCATCTGAGGTGCTTGATCCAAAAAGTAAACTGGACATCCATGATTTGAAAGATGAAAGTCCTTTCTTTCCCTTTTCCTCAGGAAGCCTTTGCTCCACCATCTTCGGCTTCTCACGCAGTTGCTGTGTGACTTCAGGTGTCTCTGGGGGTTGAGGTTCTTCGCTTGCTTGGATTGCGAGGGTGGGTTTTGTTTGAGTGGGTGTCTTCACTTCAGGCGCTGGTTTCCTTCCCTCAGTTGCCTCTTCTGTAATATTTGACAGAACCATTTTTGATTCTTCTTGAGGCTTCTCTCCAAGTAACAGAGGAGTACTCCCGTGTGCTTCTTTCTCACTGACCAGTGGAGGTTCCACAGCTTCCACCAGGAAATGGGATGCTTTGACCAGAGAGGTGGTGGCTTCCAACTTCATCTGTCCTGCTGACAGGCCAGGCACTGGTTTCTGGGTGGGCGTTTCAGGAGGTAATTTGACTTCTTCCCAGATGCCTTCTTTGGAAAGCCTAGAAAAGTCTGTGTTTTCTCTCTCTGATATAAAACTCTCACTCTCCACGAATGAATGGATCTGCCCCTTCTCTGTGTTTCTTTCCAAATTTCCGGCTGGGACTAGAGGCTTTGGTTCTTGGAATGGCCTTATTTCTTCAAAAGAATAAGTTTCAGTTGCTAAGGTTTCTGTATGACTCTCAGAAGCATTAGGAGTGGATGTTGGTTTTTGTAATGGCAAATGAGATTCTTCCACAGCCTGGGACAGAACCTGCTTTCCAGTTTCATAAGTGAGATCCTCATTCGATGGAGCAGCTTGGAGCTTCTCTATCTGCAGATCACTTCTGCTAGAGGATTTCAGCTGCTCAGGCTCAGTTGTCCTAAATGATTGTGATTGTTCCCAAGGCAAATTCTCTTTCATAATTGGCAGCTGTTTCATATTTAGATCTGGTTTATCTTCAAGAGAGCTGCTTACATCAGATAAATTAACAGCTTGACCTGAATAAAGTAATCTTTCAGGCTTCTTTTGTTCTACAAGGTCAAAAGGAGTAATCTTTGATGGTTCTGTAGCAGACACACAAAATTCCCTGTTTTCTTTATTTTCATTTTCTCTGCTCCTAGGCTCAACTAGGCCCTTCTCCAAAACAGAACCCTCTGTATCAGTTAAAATACACGTTACTGGTTCTGTGTCTACAGACCCACTCTTCCTGTCTAAACCACCAGTGAATTCTGGTAGTTCTGATAGTTGGTGCAGCTTGTCTTTTTTCTCAGACTCCAAAGGGAGTTCTGCCGGGGCAAGATCTTTTCCTGACAGGAAATCACCATGAACTGGAGAAGTTATGTCCCCTACTTGTTTGTTTTTTCCATCCACAAGGGTCATTAGTGTTGGGACTAAATCTTCTGACACTAAATTTTCAAACCTGGGAGAAGAGCTTGTCATGGCCTCATTTTTGCCTCCTGGAACTATGTGTTTAGGTGCAGGTGATACAGTGTGTGACAGAACAAGTCTAGTTTCTTCTTTCTCAATCCCACTCTCCAGGCTGAGTGAAAGCACAGGTTCAGGCCTTGATACTTCTGAGGCAGAAACTGAGTTCTCTTCCTGTGATGAAACCAAATGTGCGGAGTCAAGGGCCACAGAAAATGAATAAGCCTGTTTGTCTTCTCCCTTTGCTCCCCCAGACACAGCTGAATGCTGAGGAGATGACATTTTGTTTACTGGCAATCCAGGCTTCACTTCTTCATTGTCTATCTTTGACAAAACAGAGACACTTGGAGGTGAATCCATTTTGGTTTCTTCTTTCACTTCTGATGGAGACAAACCTTTGGATAAAGAAGTTTTAGTGCTAGAAGAAGCACTTCTAATCACTACCTTTTCCTCTTCAATAAGAATGGAATGCTCATCTACAGGCTTTAGGAGAGCTGGAAAATCACTTCCTAACTCACCTTCTCCTACTTTTGTTGGGATTGGATGTTCTTCTGAAGGTGAGGCAGAAGAATCTGTCAGCATGTCTTTTACTAATATGGTTAAGATTGAATCACACTCAGTTACAGGTATGGTTGTATAGGAGCTGGGTTCCATTTCTTTCTTTATTTCTTCTGATAAAGCTGAAAATGCTGGTGCTGGCAGACCATGTTCAACTTCCTTTTCTACTCCAGAGGAGGCTGAATGAAGTTCTTTTGTTATTTTGGAATCATGCTTCACTTCCGTTTTCACTCCAGATAAAATCTCAGGTCCAGATATAGATTTTTCCTTTGGAGGTAAATATGCTTTGAGTACTTTAGGCTGATTCTCTGACAACATGCTCTGTTCTAGCTCAGAAGGCACAGTTGGAGCTAAATTGAGATTGACATCCTTCTTTGGCTCATTTACCAACTCAGGCAAAACTGAATATGTTATCTCAGACTCTGGAACATTTGGAGGCTGAGGCTCCAGTTTTTGATCCTGTGATACATGTGCTGTAGCTTCTTGAGAATCAGGCACAGCTTCTTCTTTTCTGATTTCTGACAAAGCCATCTGTTCATCTGTAGCTTTCAGAGTGAGTGATGCTTTGGGTTCCTGTTCTTTCTTAGTTGCATAGATCGAATCAAGTGAAATTGAATGCTGAGATGCAGGAGAAATAGGTTTGGTTTCTTCCTTTACCATGGATGATTGTACATTTGAAGCAGCATGAGTTGTAGCTGCTGATGACTTAGCTTTAATTTCTTCCTGCTCCGATCTATTGGTTAAATATGGTGGAACCAAATCTTCAGGCTCAGGCTCCAGTGATGCTGTTTTCTGCTTCTGTGCCAAAATGAGATATTCAGATACAGATGTTGAGAATGTTTGAACATCTGACCTAGTTTCTGCGTCATCTGCTTTATCCACTGAAGATGGAAGGCTTGAGCCTTCAGTTGTAGACACGATAGGGAAAGACTCAGCTTTGTGCTTCTCTGATGAATCAAAATACTCAGGGATGGGTGTAGTGGCTGCTGATCTGATCTCTTCCTCATCTGCTTCAGAAAAGTAGGAAAATCCTGAAGCAGACCTTGCAGTTAAGAGGGAGTCTGGCTCACTTTCATTTATTTCTCTTTCTGGGATTCTGTATGGTGGGATTGAAACTTGTGATGCTGAGTCTGGGGAAAAAAGTCCAGCATCTTCAGTGTCTTCATCTGATACAACAGTGTGTTCAGTTGGAGATGTTAAACATACTGGGGAACCACACTCAGATTCTCTTTTTTCTGCTTCCTCAGTTGAATAGGGAGAAAATGAGAATTGTGACACAAAGGCAGAATCTGGAGAAAAGGGTTCAATGTTTTCATGTTCTGATAAATTCATGGGTGATGAATTTACACCTTCAAGATGTAGACGGGATCTTTGGAAAATGTCTTCTTCCTGCAACTCTGGTGTTGCACATGGTGGTACTGAAAATTCAGAAGCAGATGTGGAAGAGGGTGAGTATGGCTCCATTTCTATTGTCTCTTGTTCAGATAGGACTATGTGTTCAGGTAGGGTGCCTACAGGTGGTGGGGCCTGGCATTCAGAAGTCATCTCAGTTGTGTGGGGTGGGAGAGAGCACTCAGGTAGAGGGACCACATCTGGAGAACATGAGCTAACATCTTCCATCTCTGTTTCTGACACAACTGTGTGCTCAACAATGTCTTTTAATTTGAACTGAGTTACCTCATCAATGATCTTCAGGGATTCTTGTGTTGCATTTAGGGGGACTGCAGATTGAGAAGTCAATTTTGAATCTGGTGTGAAATGCTCACTTGCTAGGTCCTCTATCTCTGGCAGGACCATGTGTTGCAGCGTAGCAGCAGAAGGCAGGGGACTCTGGCACTCAGGAGTCCTCTCCATCAGGGATGGTGAGAGAGAGTGCTCAGACATAGAGGCCACAGCTGGAGACTGTGACTCAGGGTCTTTCATTTCTTCTGACAGAATCATAGACTCAGAAACATCTTTTGATTTTAATGGGAACTTGTGGTCAATTGTTTTCTTCAGTGACTCTTGTGCTTCATGGGAGGGAACTGAATATTCTGAAGCAGATGAGGAATCTGGAGTGTAACGTCCACTTTCTGAGGCCTCATCTCCTGAAAGGCCCATGTGTTCTGAAGGGGCTGCAGAAAACAGTGGTGACAGGTTTTCAGAAGACTTCTCAGGAGTGGGTGGCCAGAGAGAGCGCTCAGACACTGAGGCCACAGCTGGGGAACAAGGCTCAAACTCTTCGTTCTCTTCCTCTGAGAAAACTGCACATTCAGATACGGCTTTTGCACTGGATGGAGAGACTGGCTCAGCTTCTTGCTTCTCTGGTTCATGATTCAAATCCTGAGGCACAGAGTACTCTGACAGAAAAGCAGAGTCTGTAGAAACAGACTCGATTTCCTCTCTCTCCTCGGACAAAGTGACATGGTCAAGTGCTGCTGTTGTCAGCAGTGGAGAGTGAGGCTCCTCTTTATGCAGCATCTCAGGGGACAACCGTGGTGGGAAGGGCTGCTCAGAAATTAACGGGCTTTCTGGGTAACCGAGTTCTATGATCTCTTCTTCCAAATTAGAACCTTCAGGTTCAGGCATAGCAGCTATTGATGGGGAAGTTTCCAGCTCTTCTTTTTCTGGTTCTTGGAACACGAGAGGCTCAGGAAGAGAAATGGGTGGTTCAGGCTTGGGTTCCTCATTCTCTCCTTTGACACTGGGATGAGAGGGTGCCACGCATTCAGAGGCTGGCTCCATCCTTTCTAATGAAGTCAGCTCTGGCTCTTCTTTGCCTGACACAAGGCCTTCCTGGGTAGATAGTAACAGACCTGGTGAGCATGTCGCTATCTGTTTATCTGCAGCTTTCAGAGTAAATGATGCTTTGGGTTCCTGTTCTTTCTTAGTTGCATAAACCGAATCAAGTGAAACTGAATGCTGAGATGCAGGAGAAATAGGTTTGGTTTCTTCCTTTACCACAGATGATTGTACATTTGAAGCAGCATGAGTTGTAGCTGCTGATGACTTAGCTTTAATTTCTTCCTGCTCCGATCTATTGGTTAAATATGGTGGAACCAAATCTTCAGGCTCAGGCTCCAATGATGCTGTTTTCTGATGCTGTGCCAAAATGAGATATTCAGATACAGATGTTGAGAATGTTTGAACATCTGACCTAGTTTCTGTGTCATCTGCTTTATCCACTGAAGATGGAAGGCTTGAGCCTTCAGGTGTAGACACGATAGGGAAAGACTCAGCTTTGTGCTTCTCTGATGAATCAAAATACTCAGGGATGGGTGTAGTGGCTGCTGATCTGATCTCTTCCTCATCTGCTTCAGAAAAGTAGGAAAATCCTGAAGCAGACCTTGCAGTTAAGAGGGAGTCTGGCTCACTTTCATTTATTTCTGTTTCTGGGATTCTGTATGGTGGGATTGAAACTTGTGATGCTGAGTCTGGGGAAAAAAGTCCAGCATCTTCAGTGTCTTCATCTGATACAACAGTGTGTTCAGTTGGAGATGTTAAACATACTGGGGAACCACACTCAGATTCTCTTTTTTCTGTTTCCTCAGTTGAATAGGGAGAAAATGAGAATTCTGACACAAAGGCAGAATCTGGAGAAAAGGGTTCAATGTTTTCTTGTTCTGATAAATTCATGGGTGATGACACACCTTCAAGATGTAGAGGGGATCTTTGGACAATGTCTTCTTCCTGCAACTCTGGTGTTGCACATGGTGGTACTGAAAATTTAGAAGCAGATGTGGAAGAGGGTGAGTATGGCTCCATTTCTATTGTCTCTTGTTCAGATAGGACTATGTGTTCAGGTAGGGTGCCTACAGGTGGTGGGGCCTGGCATTCAGAAGTCATCTCAGTTGTGTGGGGTGGGAGAGAGCACTCAGGTAGAGGGACCACATCTGGAGAACATGAGCTAACATCTTCCATCTCTGTTTCTGACACAACTGTGTGCTCAACAATGTCTTTTAATTTGAACTGAGTTACCTCATCAATGATCTTCAGGGATTCTTGTGTTGCATTTAGGGGGACTGCAGATTGAGAAGTCAATTTTGAATCTGGTGTGAAATGCTCACTTGCTAGGTCCTCTATCTCTGGCAGGACCATGTGTTGCAGCGTAGCAGCAGAAGGCAGGGGACTCTGGCACTCAGGAGTCCTCTCCATCAGGGATGGTGAGAGAGAGTGCTCAGACATAGAGGCCACAGCTGGAGACTGTGACTCAGGGTCTTTCATTTCTTCTGACAGAATCATAGACTCAGAAACATCTTTTGATTTTAATGGGAACTTGTGGTCAATTGTTTTCTTCAGTGACTCTTGTGCTTCATGGGAGGGAACTGAATATTCTGAAGCAGATGAGGAATCTGGAGTGTAACGTCCACTTTCTGAGGCCTCATCTCCTGAAAGGCCCATGTGTTCTGAAGGGGCTGCAGAAAACAGTGGTGACAGGTTTTCAGAAGACTTCTCAGGAGTGGGTGGCCAGAGAGAGCGCTCAGACACTGAGGCCACAGCTGGGGAACAAGGCTCAAACTCTTCGTTCTCTTCCTCTGAGAAAACTGCACATTCAGATACGGCTTTTGCACTGGATGGAGAGACTGGCTCAGCTTCTTGCTTCTCTGGTTCATGATTCAAATCCTGAGGCACAGAGTACTCTGACAGAAAAGCAGAGTCTGTAGAAACAGACTCGATTTCCTCTCTCTCCTCGGACAAAGTGACATGGTCAAGTGCTGCTGTTGTCAGCAGTGGAGAGTGAGGCTCCTCTTTATGCAGCATCTCAGGGGACAACCGTGGTGGGAAGGGCTGCTCAGAAATTAACGGGCTTTCTGGGTAACCGAGTTCTATGATCTCTTCTTCCAAATTAGAACCTTCAGGTTCAGGCATAGCAGCTATTGATGGGGAAGTTTCCAGTTCTTCTTTTTCTGGTTCTTGGAACACGAGAGGCTCAGGAAGAGAAATGGGTGGTTCAGGCTTGGGTTCCTCATTCTCTCCTTTGACACTGGGATGAGTGGGTGCCACGCATTCAGAGGCTGGCTCCATCCTTTCTAATGAAGTCAGCACTGGCTCCTCTTTGCCTGACGCAAGGCCTTCCTGGGTAGGTAGTGACAGACCTGGTGAGCCTGTCTGTGACAAATCCTTCTCTGCCTCTAATGGCATGGTCTGGTCAGCAGAATCCATGACTTCCTTCATAGCCTCATCAACAAAGGCTAAGGAGACTGAAGAGTCGATCTCTGAAGCAATGACTCTCTCTGCCTCAGCCTCAGATTCTTCCTTTGCTGTCTCCAGGAACACAGATTGTGAAGCCTCAGGTGAAAAAGAGGAAGGCTTGATCTCATGGGATTTTGCCTCATCACCTGGCTGTTGTGGCACTGACTGGGGGGGTCCAAACAGCACCTCTTGTTCTGCCATGTTGTTACTCGAGTAATGGGAGGCTATGGGCCTAGCTGCTGATGTGGCTTTTAGGGAGGATTCAACATCAAGTTTCTTTTGATCTTCATGGCCAAATAATGACGACAGGGACTTTGATCCTTTGGAAAGCACATCTCTCCAAGGGGGACCAAGGTCTCTTAATTTATCATCTTCTGTGCTTTGGGTGCCTAATTTACTTGTTTTGGAAACTATGTTAGAATCACGATTGTCCAAATCTGGTTCTAGAGTAATGGATGCATCTTTCCCTTTCCTGTAATATATTTCTTTAATGACATAACCCTTTGGCAATGTTCCATAAAATTGCAGAGGGATTAATTCTTCTTTAACTGAATTAAACATCTTAATCTTATATTGTACAGTTCCTATATAGACTGGCCTTAACACTAATGGTTTGTGTTCTTTGTATATTGCCCCAGTAATAGGAGGTGTATTTGAGGTGGTCTTCTTTTTTCTTGTTTTATCATAGATGCCAGGAGACAAATTCTTTTTCTCGATGTTTAGCACCTGGCTTTCTGAAATTAAAGATTTGTCCTTTTTATTTGCTGGAATATCTTGAGATTCAAAAGAATTTCTTTTTTTGCTGCCTTTCCGATACAATGATGGTGAGCCATGCTTTGACTTATGAGTTCTTTTCCGAGCCTTTTTAACTTCATTCACAATAAAGGAAACACTTCCTGGAGGAGAATTCACATTTGATCCTTCCAGACTACACACACCGGAAGTCTGGCTCCCTTCGGAGGTCCATGGAGTTGAAGATCTGCTAGAACTGGTTTCCCAGGTTATCCCGCTATCTTCCCGTTGGACTGTCACCATGGAAAAGGCAGGGTCAGATATGATGCACTCCTGCCTGGTCTTGCCCTCTTCATCCTGGTGTGATAACCTATAATGTAGAACGGTACCTGTAAATATATATTATGTAATAATATGCATTTTAATTATAATAAGTAAATACATTATAGCAGGTATAAGATTAATGTAAATTAAAATATAGAGATCAGTGCTCGCTTTGGCAGCACATATACTAAAATGTAGAGATCAGGATGGCCATCAACCCTAAAAATAGGGATGTATGTGAAATAAAGTTAAAATATTAAAATCAGCTTACCAAACATAATAACATCTCCTAAGCCAGAGTTACTTAATGTTTCTCAATCTCAAAGACAATGCTGAGGGCCCATGTAGCACCTTCCCCTCAGGGGGCCTCCTGAACCCTGTGACCCTCACCGGCATCACCACAGTTTTCATCCATCTCCTGCACCTGTGCTGTCTCTGTCAGCACTGTCCCCATCCACTAGCTTTGCACCACTCCACCCCTAGACTGTGCCATCTGCTTCCTAACTGCTGAGCTGGAATCACATTTACCTGTTACCCTTTACCCTCTCACCGTCCTAAAGACTTGCTTTACTCAACAGCTTCATCGTGCTGCTCCCTGCTCGGAAATCTCAGTAAATCTTCATGTCTACCAAAAGATGCTTCAAATCCTTAGCTGTCTGATCCCTAGCTGACATGATTTCCTATTACATACCAACCCCAACATGGCTAATTTCTGTTTTAACTGCAATCTTGTGCCACAAAAATGACATTTTGGTCAATGATGGGCCACATAAATGACACTGGTCCTAGACTACAATGGAGGTGAAACATTTTTGTCATCTAGTGATATCACAGTGTCATTTCACAATGGATTACTCCTGTGCTATGGAGCTGCTAGTATAAACTGCCAGGTGTGTAAAAGTATATCACATCAATTATACATTGCACATCATACTTGACAGAGCACAAACTATGCTACTGGTTTGTGTATTTGCTGGGTTATGCATATAGTACTAGTTTATGTACTATACTTTGTATTGTTATTTTGGAGTATACTCCTTCTACATGAGAATATTTACTGTAAAACATGTACCTAGTCATGATAGCAGCAGCCTCATATATCATATCTCATGCTTACTGTCTTTTAACTACATCAGGGGGTGATGTGGAATGAATGACCTCAGGTCTACATAAAGTATGTGCTATGATGATCACACAACGATAAAATCACCATACAGTGCAATTCTCAGAATGTATCCTTACCATCAAATGACAAGCAGTCATATATAATTCACTATCCAGGAAACATATAATGAAATCTCTGAGTCGGGATAAACAAAAAAACAGTCACTGAATAAATGAGAGATGACCAAAAATTTAAGATGCAGCCTACTATGCTACTTTTCTTATCTGTAAAACAGGGAAAATAATAGAACCTACCTTGTAGGATTGGTGTGAAGATATGAAATGCTAAGTAAAAGTCTTAGGCATATAGCTAGTGCTCAGTAAGCACTATCTGTAATCAGCTTCCCATTCAGTCCTTGGACCCAAAAATAAATCAGTCTCAGCACAGATGCATAGGTTTTCTCCCTGGATGGCTGTCCTGGCCCCTCTAGCATGGTAGGCTATGGTTGCCCCTTCAGCTGTCAGCTGGGACCCATCTGCCACTCTGCAACACTTTCCTCCTCTAGAATTTCCTTGCCCTCTTTCTCACATGGAGCTATGCTGTTTCTCCATTTAGAACACTTACCCTCCACCATCCTACATCTCTCCCTTCAAAGCTTAATTTTGCAATGTCCACTGTTCCCATTCCTAACCAGTGAACCAGATATGTTTGCTGATGATACATATACATTAAGATGGAGATTAAAATTCCATGGGCTATTTCATACTAGAAATATGGCTACACTTTAGACAGCATGTATGTTTTTGCTTATTCTGAACCCTTCCTGGTGTTTAGTTTTGAATAAAGATAAGACATAAGTACATTCCACTCCCCTTTGTTAAACTTCAGAGTCTGCAGCAGTCTCCCAAGAGGGAGCTCCAGCTGTGCTGAGAGGTTGATCTCCTTAGCTCTCAGCACAGCCCAGTTGAAACCTGGGACCACTGGCCTGCATTAGCAAGCAGCCTCATTCATCCACACCAGAGTGCTATAGATAACAGGTCTGCACACCCTGAATGAAAAGAATTGGGAAGCAGTGGGAAGAACTAGGTTCGCCATTTTCTGGCAATTCTGCGCTTCTCTATTTGTTTTAGTATTAAGCTACTGAATTTAATTAGTAACTAATCATGGTCCTGGACTGAAGCTTAGTTTGAACTGTTTCTTTCATGCTCTTTTACATACCAAATTAAAGTCATTGCTCACAATTTTCAACTCATGTTACTCTTCACTTTTGTGTCACTTAACAGAAATAGGATGAAATTGAAAATTAAGGTTATGACACGCATCTGAAAAGTCAGCATTTGGAATGACTGTGACTGTAGCAGCATTATAAATGCAATTATAAATTCAATTTAGGGTTCATTATGGATTGTAAATTCAGTGTGCCCAAGCAGAAACACTTTCATTACTAGCTAGCATGAGCTCAAGAGTGCTGAGCAGAGCATGCAAATGGTGGTTTTAGAATAGAGTCCCACTGAGGTAGAGTTAACTAACCATCCGCTTATTTGTTAACATTATTTCTGCATTTAGTAAACTTTTATTAAGTTCAGATAGTAAGAATACAAATACAATGACACAGAACCTTCTTTAAAGAAATTCAAATCTAGTGAGAAGACAGAACTAAACATTTCAATACAATATGATAAGAATTATTACAGAAGGTAGGCCAGACAGGCCTAAGGAAGGAGACTTCAAAGAGGACAGATGCTGAAGATGCTTGGCTGGTTTGCCAAATGGAGAAGGAGAGGACAGCATGAGGATGGAGTGATCACAGAAAAGGTCCCAGGATATGCAAAACATACACATAAATGAACACTGGCTCAGGGAGAGACAAAGTTTAATAGGCTGGCATCAGAGACCAACTACATTAGTGTGTGTAAAGCCACAGCACAAGTGTTCATATAACACTCAGTCTAAAGAAACAATGTACTGTACTGTACTAACTCAGGAGAAATTGTTTCTGTGGAGGTCAAAATGTTGCTAGGACTGTTTCTCACTAAGCAAGTTAAATGTTTTCATCTATGCACACATCAGCCTTTCATCATGGAAGGACGGTGTCTCTTTCATCTGCCTCTGATGACATCCTCACAAGACAGCCTTCTCGTGATTTCTTGGCTTCCTGCGCAGGTTTATCCAAGGAGAGCACTGAGGCAAACTAATGACTCCTCTGTCCCTTGCAGAGTTGGACAAGAAGGCTAAGCAGATCTGAGCTGGATCAAGGACAGGACAAAGTAGTACCAGACAGGGGCACCAAAGGCTCCTTCTGAGGATAGCCCTGAGTAAAGAAGTTTCCCTAGGGCCGGGGATTTAGCTCTGTGGTTCCACTGCCTTCCTTGCAAGTACAAGGTCCTGAGTTTGATCCCCAGTACCAAAAAAACAAACAAACAAAGGAGTTTCCTTAGAGTTAAATTTGCTGTATTATTATTTGTTTTCTATTTATACAACCTAGTCAGTGTTCTTTTTTCTTCTTTCCTTTATTTTGAATATTTTTATTATTCCATTTCCCCCTTTATTAGCTTAGCAGTTATATTCTATTTTACTGTTTTTTTAGCAATTACTTTAGAAATTGCAACATGCATCCTTGACCCATTAATAGCAAACATCAATTGGTATTTTTTTACCATTTCCTGGATAATGCTAAGTACCATGAACGACTTTAATTTCAATGTATATATCACTGTAAATTATATTTCAAGTCTACAAATATTTTTAAATTTCACAAGGCATAATTAATTTTACTGTTTTAAACCATCAATATTTATTTAGATTTACCTAGATAGTGAAACATTTCATTATGCTTCATTCTTTTTTGTATCTCTGAGATTCCATCTGGCATCCTTTTTCTACTCTCTGAAGAATTCCCTTTAGTATTTCCATAGTGTGGATTTTCTGATGACAAAGTCTTATCATTTTTTCCATTAAAAGTCTTTTACATCTTCATTCTGGAAGAATATTTTCTCAAGATATAAAAGTCTAGGTTGTTAGGTATTTTCTCTCAGCACTTTAAATATATCATTCTATTATTTTGTCTTCCATTTTTTTAAATGATAAATTCATTTTCAGTGTAACTATTGCTTTTTTGAAAACAATATGAACTCTCTCCCCTATTAATTCCAACTATTTTTGGGATTTGGTTGTTGACTTTAGTTTTCAGACATTGCTGTCATATGCTTAGGTATCTTATACTACTGGGAGTTTGTGTGTGGTTTTTTTAATCTGCAGATTAGTGTTTTTCATTGTTTTGAGACATCACAATGTTCAAATACTGTTTTTGCCTCTTTGCTTCTCTTTTCTTCTGAGATTCCAATTTTTATAAATTAGAGTTTCACTACATCCAATCTGTGCTTTATTTAGATGTTTCTTCCAATCTATCATCAGTATACTAGTTCTGTTTTCAACTATGCCCAAATTATTAAAATAATCAAATGTAGTTTTGTTTTTTCATTTTAAGAATTTCCATTCTTTTCATTCTCTGACAAAGTTATCAGTCTTGTCTTTTATTTTGATATCCCCACCCCTATAAATAGAGATTCACCTAAACATCATTCTTTCACAGAATCCATTCACTTTCCATAACAGTCCAGGTATATCCCCAGTAAGTATTACTTCTTGTGAGATGAGAGGGTAAGGGATGGCTGTGGTCTACTACTCCAAGTCCAGTTTCACCCAATAAACTGGTTTGTATCTGTGTTGTGTGCCCAACCTCATTGCATGCTAGAGAGGGAATGTGATGATATCTGAATTTTTTAATGTCAAACCGACAATCTATTTTCTACACTTTATTTTGTTGGCCTAAATCAGTTGTCAAAAGGTAAATTTTATTAAATGTGCTACAAAGTATAATTTCTGTCATTCCAAAATGAAGGAGAAGGCCCTGGAACATGATGATCATATCAAAAGTTTTC